AGGTCTTTTTTCTTTTCTTTTTGTTCGTTCATGTGGTAGACCCTATTCCCCAACCCATTTACTAGGCTCCATTCTCAAAAACTTATCTATTTTTGTTGCCAATCTTGATCTTTGTCCTTTTTTGGAGTACATATTTACTATTTCTTTCCTTGTTGTACCATACTTGAATGATTGAAGATTAGCTTTTTTAATCGTTGGGGTGTTGTTGTGTTGATGTTTTGTGGTTACTTGCTAAGTCCTGTTTTCAAAATCTTTACTGTTGTTACAGTCTCATTTGTGGTAATTTGGTTGCAGAAACGCAGATATGGACTCTGCCGGTAATCAAAGGCGTACCACCCTCTCCGAGAGACAGTCACAGCTGTACAACAGTCGGGGATAACCTTTTTGTGTTTGGTGGTACTGATGGGACCAAGCATCTTAACGATCTGCACATTCTAGATACTTGTAAGCTCTTCCATCTCTTCTTTTGTTGTCTGGTTAGATCAAGAAAATGCTTGTGTTAAATGCTTCTAGTGTGAGATTTTTGAGTTTGAATTCAGTTCTTTATTCGGTGTGTTTCTTATTTTTTGTGTGATAGCTTCACATACTTGGATAAGTCAGGATGTTAGAGGCGAAGAACCTGAGGCAAGAGAGGCTCATAAGTGCAACACTTGTTGACAAACGCAATTTTATATTTGGCGGCTGTGGGAAATCTTCTGGTTCAGATGATGAAGTATTCTATAATGACTTTTACATACTTAACACAGGTATAGCTTCAGGCTGCTCTTTCAGTTTCGTTGTTAATCCTCTCATATCATTTATGTTAATTGATATGGAAGCTGAGAGAGATTCTGGTTCTTGGTTTTTTGGACGCATGTAATCATTTTTGTTTGAACTAAAACGCATGTAGCTGAACTGGTTTGAATTTTGTTTAGAGTCTTTGGCGTGAGCTGCAACATCTGGGAAACCACCCTCTGCACGAGATAGCCACACTTGCTCAACGTGGAAGAACAAAATCATTGTAGTAGATGGTGAAGACTTGGATGACTATTATCTCTCTGATGTTCAAATCCCTAATTCATTTGCGAGTTCAGTCCAGGGGTTGAAGACAATGACTTTACAAAATGGTGTCGTTTTCTAATTTCTACAACGTAGTTGTGGTCTTTTTTTTTTAAACAACGAATGCTCAATAAGACTCCGTCTCTTACGTGGTGTCCACGTAGACATTAATTGACGGAGAGTTAACAGGTTGCTCACGGAGATTGGTTTACGCTACTAAAAAGAAGATTAAGGCTGGATATCAATGTTTAAATAGATTAGGTATGAAATAGCACTTTACATAAGTTTATGTATAGATTTACATTTTTGGAAAGATTGGGTCTGAAAAAGCCAATTTTCCCACTTCTTTCACGTTTTTTTTTTTTTTTAACTTGTCTTCTTTCACATTCGTCATCATAATATTCTATGTACTTCCTTTTTTAACTGTTTCTTCTCGACTCATCCCCATTTCACGCATTTGCTCAAAAGTCAAAAGGAGAACCTCCGATAGGTTTTTTCTTCTTTTTTCCAGTTTTTTGTTGTCTTTACGTATGGGCCATTGCTGATGAAAAGAAGAATAATAAAGACAAACCCGAAAAATTAATGACACCGATCTATCAGAAACAGACATAGGATTTCAGTTTTCAATTCCTTTCAATTCTGGGTTAGAAGTTCAGCAATTCAGCGAGATATTTATCTAGAGTTTTGAATTTCATTCGACGGCAAGGTTTATTAGGATGATGTCGGATCTGATAAGACGATCGGCGACTGTCCTTCCGTTCTGTCCTTTCGTCTTTTGAATTTTGGGACTTCTCGATGAAATGATAAAAACAAAAACAAAAAAATTCCCAAAGTTCAGTATAAGTTATGCCCAACCCGATTTCACTGGATTTTGAGTTTATCCGATTCTATTGTGGTTAGGTTACTAATTTTTTTTTTTTCGACTAAACAAATTTATTAATAACGAAACAAGTTTACAAAGTCATTACAGAAACTAAGCAAATTATTACATAAACAGATATATGCGTCATGAAAATTGATAGAACTAAGAAGTGAATTTGACGATGCTTTTTTTTGAAATCTTACTCGCTAACGGATGATAAAATCCGTTATTTTCCTCCTCTGTAATCGATCTTCTTATGCGAAGTTTGTGCTTGGCTATCTTTTTTTTTGTAGAAACTCCAATTTGCACATCGCATTACAAAACCCAATGCTTTCGTTGATAGCTCCAAACAATCAACATTTTGATACCAATTAGTCCGTATCAGTGTCGTTTTGAAAAATAGTGACTTTGATTTCCTCTTGATACGATCCCAAATGAACAATAATCCGTCAGGTTGACCTTCTTCGTCGACTTTATAGCCACCAATTCCCGGATTGAAAATCCAAATTACATACCCGAACCATAAGATTCTAGGTAATGAAATTTGCTGAGAACGTCGCTTCAATCTCAGACCAATTTGAGTACTTTGGTTCAAAGAATAAATCCAAACGATCTCAGAAACATTACACCGGCAGAACCACCGTGATGGACACCCGAAGGAAACTCCAAGGAGGAGAAGAAGGGTGGTTATTGAGAACCAAAATAAAGACACGAAGAAAGGGAAAGACGAGAAATGTTGCATCTGTCGTGTATCTCGTTCTTTCGTTACCACACAGATCTCTTCTGCAACAGATCTCTTCTGCAACGAGAATCTTGAAGATGAAGTCGATGAGACAAAAGACGGAGAGCATGATAGTGACATCGGACGCATCTTTTGGCATGGCTTGGGTCCGTGCTTTGAGTCCGGTGAGAACGAAAATTCCAGAGTCGATAACCAAACCGATTCTGAAACACATCAGATCCCACCACGTCAACCATTTCTTCGTCTCACTATCCCTACACACCTTCATCCCATGAATTTCATTGAGACAAGTAAACGATCTATGAGTATTTATTTATATATCTAAGAATTAAAACAGAGAAGTAAAGAGTACGACCGACGCCGGCTCCGGCGTCGGCCGGTGATATCACGAGTAAAAACTGTGTTAATCGCCTTAACAGTCGCCTATTGGGAGAAAAGCGGTTTCCTTTTGACTGGTTAGGTTACTAATTATGAACACTTAATTATTTTTGTTTTTAGTTTTACACCATTTTATCGAATTAAAAAATTTGATTAATTGAAAGAGAGTACAGTTGTATTTAAGATTTGTTTCAAACGAAAAAAAATATTCTAGCAATAAGTCCACTTTTTACTAAACAACGAATCACCTCCGCACTCAACCATGCATCAACTTAAAGCATTCGGAGTATAATCATACACAATGCAATACAATATCGTTGAGAGCAAAACGTACACGTTCAAACAAATACTATAAAAAAACAATTTAACTAAACAACTTAGAATGTTGCTTTTGTATGAATTGCTTATAGGATTCTTTGACTTTTCGCAAGGTTCGGAATTTTCATAAATTATTTAAGTAGCTATTAAGGCTAACGAGTCTTAAGACAATGGTCAAAAGTTAACCACATCCATATGGATCTATAGATGATGAATCTATGATCAACAACAGCTTCTTTGAATTCAGGTATGCTGTCGAAGACTTGTCCTAGGCGAAGCTCTCCACTTCCTTTTTTGCAGCCGACGTATCTTCTTCCACCATCCTCACAATCAGAATTAGGAGGAGTATCTTCACATGTATCAGGTTGTCGTTCTTCTTCCTCCGCTACAGCTTGTTCCTCTTGCAAATCATCATCTCCATTTTTTTCACCATTCTCATTATCTTCTTCAGATACGGGATCTTCGACAGGCGTTTCATCATGAGCAATGTATCTGACGTCAGAATCTGCAGCTTCATTTGGATTAACCCTAGCAGCAACTCCATCATCAACATTTTCACTCTCCATAAAAATATCAACTACTTTTGTCCAGAACACTTCTTCACACATTCTCTGAAATGTTGCAGTTCCATTGCAGAGAACTTTCAGATCCGACAGCTTCTCGTATGGAAGTTTGTACCAAATTCTTTGTCCACACAAAGAGATCTCCAACGCATTCATCATGTTAGCAAACAACGCCTTCGCAGGACTTGTTACTGAGTGAACCTCTCCACCAACATATGTCGTAGTGTTGTTCTCAGAGATTTCAAACTTTCCATTGTAGTAAATTTGAAACAACACATCGTTCGAATTGAACAGAGATAAACAGAAAATCAGATCAGATAGAACATACTATGTGATTAAACAAAACAGAATATTAGACTTTTTTAACTATGTAATAACTTCAGTTACTAGCTAGTTTATAATACGCATATCTTATCGAAATCAAATTTTAAAACATGAAAACAATAAACAACTTAACAACACAATCTACAACTACCTAAACGAGATGCTCTGTTTTGTTTAAAATATATATTCGGTCTACTTGGTAGTGGAAACTGAGAGTTGTATTCCTTTTAAAATTTTGGTTATCACTTGGTAGTCAAATCTAATTTTGACTGAAATAAAGACGGCTTATTGTTTACCTCATCTCTCCAACACCTAAACGAGATGCTCTGCAAACTATTACACTTCGTCAACAGTGATTTTGCAGTGACAATTTTCAAAGTTGCAAAAGAGCAATGAGAGGAAGAGATCGAAAGAGAAAGGTATATGAAGAGTGAAAGAAGTTAGGTTTCTTGTGACTTATGTTTATCTAAACGACATAGTTTTAAATCCTAGCCACCAAACGACGTCGTTTTGCGCATGAAAACAGAGTAATTTTGCGGTTCTTAAAACGACGACGTTGCTAATGTGTCATCCATGTCGACAAGATTTCACGGAGAGTTATCGATCGGAGGTTTTAGCACAAAAGTCAAAGTTCAGGTATGTGATTCAAAATATACATAAGTTCATTCATGTTTGTTTTTGCACTTGTAGTAAAGTCGAGTCTAAATTTAACATCTTCCCAAAGTTAAGGTAAGAAATAGCCAATTATCCGATGCTCACTCAATAACCCTTTCAGTTCAATAAACCACAATTCTTAAGACCAATGTGAAAGTCTCTCGATCGCACATTAGACATGAAAACTTATCCACCATTAAAAAATGTTCGATACTACCAACTAGGCAGAAACTAAAAAATTAGGAACCAGGCAAAGCAAAAATTGTTAACTTAAGAAGCTAGTATTGTAATACTATGGAAACATAATATAGAGAAGTGAGTGGCGATGCTGTCTCTAGCATGGATAACCCGAGGCGCATTCTCGATCCTTCCAAGAGATCATTTTCCGGTGATCTCTTCCTCTGAATGATCTCACAAGAAGCTTACCATCTACAGGCTTGCACAAGCCGACATCAACCACACTTGTGGCTGTTCCTCTTTTGGAATCTGGAGATGGATCGTCCACGTAATAATCGAACAACATTGCCAAGCATCTTATTTGATGAGATAAGAGACAGTTTTCTTGACATGAAGGTACTATCTTCAGCATATGAAGATTCACCTGATACCAACAAGAAAAAGTTAAGAAGGTATTATTGCTGTTGGTATCATCGACTGAAGATTGATATATTGTTACTTACCTCTGCTTCCATAGCTCGTAGTTCATTGTAATAGTCACTTTCATTTGTCCCGTTGTCATTTCCGGAAGAAGTAGAAGCATGGAGAGACAGAGAAAACAAAGGAGGTCGAAGAGGATACTCCATGCTAATATTGACCTGCCAATATAACTCCATTTAACACTTGAGAATGCAACGGATATAGGGGAAGATAGTGTTTTTTAGAAGTTACCTTTGCATCTAACTTCCACAACTTTCCACCATCTGTTTTTCTTGAGAACACAAACGCAAACTCTCTCGCACCATAATCCACCCATGAATTATCAGCTTTCTCTGGGCACAACGCTTCCACATGTGCATCGATTGTTCCTGCTGGCTCATCTACTTCACTATCATCATCCAGAACTAGATCCAAATCATCCTCGTATTTCTTGAAACTCGGTAACTTTCCTTTGCTAACTGGAGAATCTAGGTTCTTTGTCATCAAAGCCAACTGCCTGGACCTCGCTAGATCAGATACTTTTGATGGGGTATGATTAGAATTGGTTGTCAAAGCTGCAGCTGTGACCAAAGAGGGAAGTTCTCCGTCTTCCCGTATACTTTCGTGATCTTCCTTACCAGGAATAGATCTTCCATCTACATCGATTTCCATAGGTTCTGGAACTTGTTCCGTACTATTCAGAGTCGGAGAGTGCAACTTACTAGCTGAAGATCGTATAAGTAACCAGGAATCTAAAGAACAGAGAACCTTGTGCAATGCCCAAGGAGCTTCTGCGCAGTTTACAACAGGCAACTCGTGCTTCATAAGCATATCAAGCTGCTCCCTGCAAAGCAAGTATAAAAATTCCAAGGTATTCAATGAAAGTAAAATTATCAGCAGTAATAATTACCCATAGAATCTCTTGAAGGGAAAATTGTTGACAGCCAAGTTATATAGAAAACCAAACTATCATATGATTTAAGCATATGCTGATACCAATATTCGGATTATCATGATGCCTACAAATCTTCTGGAATTCTTTGCATAGTGTTCTTTAATCAAGACGGAAAACATACAGAGTGGAGACTCACGCAAGAGCCAGATGCGCTTTTTTCCGCGAGCGAATTCTTTGCAGAACTGTTTGCACCCTATGCTGCTGGCGATACAATGAGAGATCAGGCACAAACGCATCACTTTTAGCTGAGTCGACGTTATGAATATCTTGGCCAAGTACAATCGGTGACAATTCTGGTAAAATGTCAATCCCCGCCAAATGTTGTACCCATTTATAAGGCCTCGAAGTTCTGTTCTCATCAAATGCTTGACCATCACCAAGGATAAGCTTGGTCGACTGCATGGGACACCAGCGATAGAGTCGTCAAAAGTCACAAGTAAGAAAACTGAAACACGAAGACGAAAAGGAAAAAAAAATAAAAAGTTTACCTGATGAGGAGGCTCAAGTCCAGCATCGTCTGGAAACAAGTTACAAAGTATGTTCTTCTCAGGTCCGTCCTGAGACCCTTCAACGCCAACACATACAACATTCAACTTCAACAAGTACTCGAACTTGAGAATGACAAGCTTGAGGGATTTTGTATAGTCAATCTTATCGTCATATACGTGAAGAAGAATTCTGAGAGGGTGGACTTGATATAACCCTGCCTTGTCAGAACCTTCTTTGCTAGTAACTTTCTTAGGTCGCTTTCTTCTCCTCTGTCCATCATCATCATCATCAGGTCCATCATCCTCCAACCTAGAACTCTCTGTGTTATTAGACATACCTGAAAACAATCAAGCACCAAATCAGCATCCATTTCGATTTCACCCTCTGAAGACAGTAAGCTTTCTACAATAGCTTACCGGAGTCCTTCTTTGATTGCTGCCGAGCATAAGCTTGAGCATCCTTGAGGCTCCCAACTACCTCCAAATCAATCCTCTCTTCAAAAGCTTCCTTTTGTGCCAAGAGCTGTGAGTATATTACGTAAAGCGGAGGAGGAAGCAGCTCAGCGAGATTATGCTGCTTAAGCTTCTTCGTGTGATGTATACCCAACTGGTTCTGTACTGGAAGCGATGCTTTCTTTAGAGACTTGAGGTGTAGAGGAAGACTCAACAGAAACTTCTTACGCTCTGCAATGGTTTCCAGTAAACTCTTCTTCTGCTGCTCCAATCTCGCTCGATGCTTACACAGTTCTTTCCGCTGAATAAAAAACGTAAACGTTCAATCTCTTCCACCAATAACATGATTGAACACTGAGCTTAATCAAACTACCTGATGAAGCTCAAAACTGAGCCTCTTGGGCATCAAAACATGGGAACTATCAGTCGAGAGGGAACGATCCTTGATAGTTTCAGGAGCGTCTCGGAGAAAATCTTGTTCGGGGACGAGATCGATGTCTGGGTACTTGGATTTGAAATCTCTGCAAGCTTTAATAGCTTTGACGTAATGGCTCTTCTCGTACATGAGATTGTGCAATTGCAGCGTCGTGAAATCGACTGGTGCTTTCGCTCGTTCCGTCTCCGCCTTGACTTTATCTTCCTCCGTCAGAATCGCGCGATTTGCCTAAGAAAACAGGAAACGAAATACCGAAACCCTAAGTTTGTTTCGTGGTTGGGGAGATCTAGGCGGTTTAAAGAGAAAATCCTAACCTGACGAAGATTAACGAAGTTGAGGAACATCTGTGTGAGGAGTTCTCGAATCTCAGATTTATGGTTTCCTTGTTTTTTGATGGTGAGCATCCTCGCGACGATTTCTTCCACGGAGGTTTTGCTCTCTCGAAGCAACTCCAGTGGAGATTTCTCGGCGACCTCTCGCGGCGGTGCCAAAGTATCCGTCGTTACTTCCGGCCTCGGAAACTCATCGGCCGTCACCATTCCTTCCTCTATTTCGCCGTCCTCCATTGCCTTAGTTAGACTCTTTTTTGCCCCTTTGTCCGGTCACGCTCCCTAACTTCTGTCAAGGATTTTGTGATTTTTTTCCTCTAACCGGTTAGTTGCCCAGAGAAAAAAAATAGCCATTAGCCAAAAAATACTTCTCTCACGTTTGCGAAACTAAAAAACTAATTTCAAGTAAATCATATTTTGTGTTAGGTGTATTCGCGCATGACTAAAAAGTTCATCAATATAGATCAGAAAATCTGGATTTCGATTAATTACTAAAAAAACGATTTATTAACAAATATGCAGATTAATAGAAATAAATTTACATGAAATTTTTAGCATGGTATAAGTAGAACCGTAGCATAGTATAAGTAGAACCGTTTCACTCAAATGTTTATATAACAATAAAACTATCTGCTGTAAATTGTTTTTGTAATTGTAATAGTTCTTATAGTTTATAATAGATTAATAAATTAATGTTAAAAAACACTAAGTAAATAATTTTATTAGTAACTAGGTAAAAAAGTGAAAAGTTGCGTTAAGCGTCAAAATATCGTAATATAAGATGGTTTTATTTATATTGTAGTATTCAAAATTTCACTAAACGCTAATTAAACAGTTAGATATGTCAACCATATCAACATTTTGTAGCAAATATTTTCATTTTTTGAATTATAATAAGCTGATTTGTAAGGATCGCGATTTCTGTAATTATGACTATGTTTGCCACACTAAGTCCAGCGGATTAGTGGACTGGCCAATATTTTTAGTATTTCATATTGTACATTAAAAAAAATCTATGAAATGAGAGATTGTATACGAATATTTATTGAGATGATAAGTGAATAGACCTATAGTATTTCAAGAACAAGGAAAATATTTTATATACAGAAAATTCCATATAAAATCCTTAACTTAATTTCAATGAGCTTTTGTATATCCTCAACTTTTTTCTATATGTTGATTTGCGATTGTATGTGGTATGCAAAATTAAGAAAAACAATCAGAGATTTAGTTAACATCAAGGCCCCTTTATTAATCAAACGGAAAACTTCTGGCTCCATCAGAGTCTTTGACGAATCGGCCTCAACCAAAAAACAAAGCCCATACCGAGCCCACTCAAAAAGAAACTCATTATCTTCAAACACAAGTCTTCAACAGTAACAAAAAGGATAAGTATCATCTCTGGTCAAAAGTAGTCAAAAGTACAGAGACTCCAGCTGCCACTGTCCAGACACACAATCGCTTTGAAATGTTAACGGAGTGTGTGTAACGTTTGTGACATGTATTTTGCTTTGTCGTCTTTCCTTTTGAGTTTTGAGTATCTTCCTTGTTCTCACTCTATATAGTCTCTTAAAAGCTCTGTATTTGACAAGTTATGAAGGTTGAGTAATAAAAGTTAAATTTTTTCGTTGTCTTTCAAGTTCTATTTACACTTTCATGGTATCAGAGCCAGGTTCATCCTCGGAGACAACAATGGCAAACGACACACAGATTCAATCAACCCCTCCAGGTTCTGAGAACTCTACACCTAACCCGACTCCGGCAGCTCCGGTTCGAGTTACACAGGGCCAGGATCGAGCTTCTCCGGCTGCAGATCGAGCACAGGCTGCGCCAAACATGTCAACTCTGCCGCTTTTCCGAGCTCTACCGTTCAATACATCTATGCAACTGCTTCCTCCAGCACCTGTTTGTCACCTCTGAACATCTCACACTTTGTGACGATGAAGATGTCAGCCTACAACTACTTGATGTGGAAGTCGCAGATGGAGATCTGGTTGTCAAGTCAGCATCTTGTCGGTCAAGTCATTGGAGCCACTCCGAGACCTCCTGCAACAACAACTGTGCGATTGGATCTATGCTTTCTGATATGCATAATCCAGAGCTTCTTGTCTGGTTGCAAAATGAGCAAACCATGCTTGGGTGGATTTTTGGCTCTTTATCCGAAGAGGCTCTCCGGTCTGTCTTTGGGTTGAGGTCGTCTTAGGAAGTATGGCTTTCCTTTGCTCAAAAGTACAATCGAGTGTCACTCACCAGAAAGTTAGATATCCAAAGGCGTATTCAGACTACTGCTAAGGGAACTAGGTCTTTGTCTGTGTATCTTGGGGAGATTAACGACTTGTGTGACCAGCTCTAGTCTATAGGAATACCGATTTCTGAACAGGAAAAGATATATGGTGTCTTACACGATTTAGAACGCAAGTATGAGTCCATAGTTAATTTCATCGAAAACTCTATGGATTCTCACTTTGGCTTGTCTTTTGAGGATGTAGTTCATAAGCTTATGGGATTTGAGGACAAACTTCAAAGCTATGTCACGTCTTCTGAAACTGTTACTCCTCACCTGGCCTTTCAAACTGAGAAGGGTGATGATCTCAACACTCGTGATGGAAGTCCAACAGGTTACATCAACACTAACACTCAAACTGCTCGTGGTGGATATTGAAATGTTGGCTGAGGTGGTTATTCTAATGGTGGCCGTGGTAGAGATTCCTACTCCACCTAAGGCCGGGGCTTTCAGCAACAGTTCCCTGCCAACTCCACAAACAACAACAAGCCTACTTGTCAGATTTGTGGTCGGTATGGACATTCTGCCTTCAAGTGCTACAATCGCTTTGACAGGAACTACGAACCTCAATATGTTCAGAAAGCTTTAGCTGCACTGCGAGTTGCTGATTCTGGTCAATCACCTGGTTTATAGTGGTATCCGGATACTGGGGCTATGACTCATGTCACTAGTTCAGTCTCTCAACTTCAACAAGCTCAGCCTTACTCTGGTGATGACTCGGTAATGGTTGGAAATGGAGATTTCCTTCCCATTACTCACATTGGATCCACTACTCTGCCTACTTCTCAAGGTATTATTCCCTTACATGATGTGCTAGTTTGTCCTGATATTGCTAAGTCATTGCTGTCAGATTCTAAATTGACCTTGGATTTTCCATGTGAGTTCACCTTTGATTCTGACTCTGTTGTTGTTAAGGACAAGAGAACAAAGCAGATGTTAGCTCACGGAAGTAGACTTAATGACTTGTATGTGCTGGAGAACCCACAGTTTATGGCCTTCTACTCCCCACAGTAACACAGCACAAGTCTTGAAGTATGGCATCAACGGCTTGGACACCCAAATAAGGAGCTTCTTCAGCATCTTGCAAGTCGTAGTTAAATAGTGATGAATAAGACTATCTCTCGCATGTGTGAGACATGTCAGTTGGGTAAATACAGTAGGCTGTCTTTTCTTTCTTCCGAGTTTGTAGCCTCACGTCCTCTGGAACGTATCCATAGTGACTTATGGGGACCATCTCCTATAATCTCGAACCAAGGGTTTCAATACTATGTCATCTTTATTGATAATTTTTCAAAGTTCACTTGGTTTTATCCCCTTAAGAGAAAATCTGATTTCTACTCTGTCTTCCTTACATTTCAAGCGTTTGTTGAAAGACAACTACAATATAAGTTTCAGGTCTTTCAGAGTGACGTGAGGGGGTGAATGCACTAGCACAAAATTCTTGGCTCATCTTCAAACATGTGGCATCAAACATCTTCTCTCATGTCCTCATACACCACAGCAAAATGGTTTGGCTGAGAGAAAACATCGACACATAAGAGAACTGGGATTAGCTATGATGTTTCAAAGCAAGGTGCCACAACACTTGTGGGTTGAGGAATTCTTCACGTCTTGTTTCCTTGGGAATCTGCTTCCGTATACAGCTCACAGTGAGAAACAAAGCCCCTTTGAGCTGTTATATGAAAAACCACCGGTTTAAACTTCTCTCAGAGTATTTGGTTGCTCGTGTTATCCATATCTCAGGCCATATGCCAAAAATAAATTTGATTCCAAGTCTCTCCACTGTGTATTTCTTGGGTATAACGAGAAATATAAAGGATATAGATATCTATATCCTCCTACAGGCAAAGTGTTCATCAGCCGACATGTGCTTTTTGATGAACTTACTTTCCCTTTTGCAGATAAGTACAGGGAGTTCCAGTCTCACACCTCTGTTAGTCTCTCTTCTTGGAACTTCGGGATTCGAAAACACATCTGGCTCCATCTACAACTCCTGTCTCATCATCTTCTACACAAGTCTTGTCAGATGATTTGGTTCTCCTTCCAAGTTCAGACGCTTCTTCACTTCCTCCACCTTTGATGACTACTTCCTCTACAGAGAATAGTTCTGAGTGTACGGCGGGCTTAGAACTCGATCCTATTGGCAACAGCTATTCCTCTGTATCTGGAAGGACAGTTTCATCAAGGAGTACTTCGAGTTCAACACGTTCTGATAGTCCATCAAGGTCTGTAACAGTTCAAGAACAGGGTTCCATAATAGTTCATGAGCCATTTTCTGTTGATGTAATGCAAAATCAGTCCAGTCTCTCTAATAACAATGTTCATCCCATGGTTACATGAGCTAAAGATGGGATTGTAAAGCCAAATCCGAGATATGTACTTTTCACTGTTAGAAGTACATATCCTGAGCCAAAAACAGTGAAGTCTGCTATCAAAGATCCATTATGGACTGAGGCTATGGGAGTTGAACATGGAACTCTCAAAGAGACCAACACTTGGGACCTTGTTCCTCCTGATATTGCTGAGAATATATTAGGCTGCCGATGGATATACAACAAAAAAACTAAAGGCAGATGGCAGCTTAGACAGATTGAAAGCTAGGCTAATTGCCAAGGAATACGATCAAGAAGAAGGAATAGAATTTCTCGAAACTTTCAGTTCTGTAGTAAGAACAGCCACAGTTAGGTCTGTTTTGCATGTTGCAGTTACTCAGAAGTGGGAAATCAAGCAGCTTGATGTACAAAATGCGTTTTTACATGGTGATCTCAAGGAAACTGTATACATGAAGCAACCCCCGGGTTTTGAGGATCCAGATAAACCTGATTATGTGTGTAAACTCAAGAAAGCCATCTATGGCCTTAAACAGGCTCCTCGTGCTTGGTTTGACAGGTTTAACACCTTCTTGATTGAGTATGGTTTTGTGTGTAGCATCCTAGATCTTTCTCTCTTTTTGTACATCAAAGGACAAAATGATATGTTGCTTTTACTCTATGTCGATGACATGGTTTTGACAGGGAACAACAGTGAGCTACTTCAACAATTTCTTGAGACACTAAACAAAGAGCTCAGAATGAAAAATATGGGAATTTTACATTACTTTCTCGGTATTCAAGCTCATTTTCACGATGCTGGGTTGTTCTTGAGCTAGGAAAAGTACATAATGGATCTGCTTGTTGCTGCTGGAATGGAAAACTGTGCCCCAATGCCAACCCATTTGCCTCTACAACTTGACAAAGTACCAGGTCTGGACAAGTTGTTCTCGGATCCTACTTACTTTAGGAGTCTTGCAAGTAAACTTCAGTATCTCACTTTAACACGATCAGATATTCAGTTTGCTGTGAATCTAGTGTGTCAAAAGATGCATCAACCAACTATGGATGACTTCAGTTTGCTTAAACGAATACTGCGGTATCTCAAAGGCACCTTTCAGATGGGAATTAACCTGAGTTCAGATACTGATTCAACTCTTTGTGCCTACAGTGACAGTAACTGGGCAAACTGTAAGGAAACCAGACATTCAACAGGTGGTTTATGTACATTTCTAGGCTCTAACATCATATCCTGGTCTGCAAAAAGGCATCCCACTATCTCAAGATCCTCTACTGAAGCCGAATACAGAACAATGTCAATTTCTGCCACAGAGCTCAAATGGATAAGCTCTCATTGCTTGATGCTATAGGACATCCTCAACCTGCACTTCCTGAGTTATACTGTGATAATCTTCTGCAGTTTACTTAACCGCCAATCCAGCTTTACACTCCAGGTCGAAGCACTTTGATGTTGATTTTCAGTATGTACGTGAAAGAGTTGCTCATGGAGCTCTTATGGTGAAACATGTGCCAAGGCATCAAAAACTGGCTGATGTGTTTACAAAGTCGCTGGCTCAAGAACCTTTCTTTGAGTTAAGATTCAAACTTGGCGTTGATTTGCCTACTACACCAAGTTTGAGGGGTTGTATTAATCAAACAGAAACACTTCTGGCTCCATCAGAGTCTTTGACGAATATGCCTCAAACAAAAGACGAAGCCCATACCGAGCCCACTCAAACAGAAGTTCATCATCTTCAAACACAAGTCTTCAACGGTAACAAAAGGGATAAGTATCCCCTCTGGTCAAAAGTAGTCAAGAGTACAGAGACTCCAGCTGCCACTATCCAGACACACAATCGCTTTGAAATGTTAACGGAGTGTGTGTAATGTTTGTGAAGTGTATTTTGCTTTGTGGTCTTTCCTTTAGGGTTTTGAGTGTCTTCCTTGTTCTCACTCTATATCTGGAAAGCTCTGTATTTGACAAGTTACGAAGGTTGAGTAATAAAAGTTGAATCTTTTCGTTGTCTTTCAAGTTCTGTTTTAAATTTCAACCTTCTTAATAGAGTTGGTGTTTTCATATATTTTGTTTGCATTAGATATTTAAACTTTGTGGCTGCTTTGCTTTGCACTTTAGGGTTAAATTGTTAATATTATTAAAAATAAAATGTTAAAAAGTTATAAGTTGTATTAACAAAATTTTTGACCTAAAAAGCTTGTTCCCATAACCAAAAAAAAAGGATAAAGAAAATAGAAACAAATTCTATGGGTATATGAAAGCTGTTTGCTTTTCTTTGATTTACTTCTCATTTATTCGAAAATTGATACGACTAGTCATATTTCACCTCATCTCTTTACAGGGGTTTTCTGATCTGTATATGATCTTGAGGAGCACGTCTTTGTTAATATTTAGGATTGATGCTTTGATCGCCTCGATTGAGCATTTGGGTACCCGTTCTGATTCAAATTTGCTCAGTTTGGATATCTAAATTTTAGAGATCTATGACCCATAAGGGTATGTTTTTTCTTGGTTTAAGTCCAGTTCGGTCTTCAATAAAACTATCCCAAATTCTCCAAAAAACTAAAAAAAAAAAATTATTTAGTTTTAAAAAAGTTTATTTTACTTTTGCAAATTTTTGAACTTTGACAAATATAATTAAACGTTTTCTAAACATAAACTATATATATTTGATATATATATATATATAGATAAATAATTGTATTTCATATATTTCAAGTACTTATTCGGGTTTTGTTTGGTTCTGGTTTAGTTTATTCAGATATTTCTAATCATTTGGTTCGGTTTGATATCTTCTAATTTGGTTTGGCTCTGATTTGGTTTTTCAGTTCCGGGTATTTTGCAGATTTACCTTGCTTTATTTTTTTTTAATGAAATATAACTTTTTTTGAAATCTGGAAGAAGTTGGAAACAAAAGTATTAATTTCAACAAGTTGTCATCCTCAAACAAATGGACAAATAAGTAGTAAATTACACTGAGTCAACTATTTAGAGCTACCACTAGAAAGAGTTGAAGAATCGGCTGGATTGCATACTATATGTAGAGTTTGCATACAACCAAACTACGCATTCAGCCACTAAGCAATGTCCATATTAAGTTCTCTACAGATTCAATCCAATCATCCATTTGGATTTGTCTCCACTTCCCCAAGTTGAAGTCGTGAATCTAAATGGAATGAAGAAGGTTGGTGCATGTCGTGAGAAAACTTCACTAGAAATTTAGATACAATCTCAACAAGAAGGAGGAGCGGTCTGAGAAGCAAGCCAACAAAAACACAAAAATGGTGTTTGAATCAGAAAATGGGTGTGGTTACACATGAAGATGAAAGCTTTCCTCTCAAAAGGAGTAGATTTCCTCAAAAGGAGATGGTCTTTTCAAAGTTTTGGAGAGGATCATTGACAAGGCCTACCACTTGGACTTGCATGTTGAGTTTAATATTTCATATACTTTCAATGTTATTGACTTGGACAGTTTAATGTATATACAGATCACATTTTCAGGTCAAAATAGTTCAATAAAAGGAAATATTAATGACATGCAACAAGAACCAGTACCCATAACGAGATCTTATACTTGTTTCATCCAAGATAAGTTCAATACCTTAACTCCAGATATTACCTGAAAAAGAGATCCAAATTAGAACCATATTTCAAATTGGACATGGAAGAAAAAAAAAACAAATTAGAGCCATTTAACACCTTTCTACAAAGATAATCAATCATTAATCAAGCAATTCTGATGATTACCAAGCCAACCCAATCAAAATCCATATCAAACTATACAAATCGCCGCCTCCATCCCCTGTAGGAGTTTTGAGAGAGTATATTCAATGCAGTCGTTGACAAAAAAAAAACTATCATGAGAGTTTTTTTTTAGTTAATTTTTAAAACTTTTGGAGGCGTTATAGCAACTCCATTAGAGATTTTAAAGAGTATGTTAGCCAATTTTCTTAGGTGAAAATGAATTAAAAAAAAAAGAAAAAGCCCATATTTGCTACAAACCGTTTCTCAGCTAAGGGCTTGAAGAACCCGGATTGTTAACGCACATGTCGGCCTATTATTGGGCTGAGAAAATATATTATTTTTTTTGGCTTATCCGAAATCGAATAGTTTTCTTCTCTATCTCTTTTCTCTCTCCATATTCAGAACTCCGGCGATATCTCTTTGACGATGAGCCTCCGTTAACTTAATCGGCGAGACGGAACCGACCATCGATGATCAATCACGTAGACAAGGTAAGATTTTCATATGGTTTTGATTTTGATTTAAGTTTAGGGATGGTTGAGATAGACAAAATTATAGTTTTTTGATTTGGGGAAAAATTTAGGCATCTTTCGTGTCGTTGAAATTGTGGTTTTCCGATCACTTAGAAGTCTATGTGTGCTGTTCTTAGCCATTATAGAACATGATTTAACTGTTTACCGTATTTGATTCCTCAGTTATGTGATTGTGTTTTCCAAGTTTTTTCTTGATTTTTATATGTTTATCTGGCAATCTGTTTATGTGTGAATGGTATCAGGATTCAGTAATCTTCTTATTTATTGGTGTATCCGTGATTTAGCCTTGCTGTATCCATGATATCTTCGATTGTATTATGTTGATTTATCGGTAGTGTTAATGTGTTATTGTTTGTACGTAATGTATTAGCGGTTTAGTGTCTTTTCTTCTTGCTCATTGGTTATATGTTTAGTTTCAGTTCATATAATTCTGTCTCTATTGCTCACATTGGTTTACTTTATTGTGAGGTTAAATGGAGGACAGGGTCTTGCTCTCAACACTTCACATTTCCACCGAGTAGTTGAAAGGACAATGTAAAGGTCAGTCATCTTCTAATTGTTTGGTTAGTAGACATAGTTAGCCGTATACATAGTTAGGAGAACTTGTTAGGAATCGGTTAGAAACTGTTTGTGATAAATGCTTGTGATAAATAGCTTTGTGATGAATGCTAGTTTACTTTTGTTAGGTATATGTCAATTGCTTGTCAATGGTTCAATGCATGATAGCTTTTGAAATGGTTTAGCTGTGTGATAAATGCTTCTGAGATGATATTAATAAAACACAAAAACATTAACACAAGTAATTTTTAAAAACTTTCGGTTAAAAAAACACTTATATTAAAACACAATTACAACATCTTCCTAATACACACACCGACTAAAATATCTGTCTTCTAAACACTTATTCCTAAAACCTCTGTCTTCTAAACATTTTTTCTAAAAACTTCTATATTCTAAACACTTCTTCCTTAACATCTTGTCTTCTAAACACTTCTTCTAAACACTTCTTTCAAATAACTCAATTTTATCAACCCTTTTTCCTCAGTAAACTAAGATTCGGCTTCGCAAAACCCATTTAGTCAATCTGAAGGCTTCGTTAATCTATTAAGAAGTCGACTAGGTAATCAGCAGTACTCGCCATGTATTGAACTTGGGTCATCAGAAGTCGCTGTGTTTAGTACACAAGACTCTGATGATCCAAACGTTGCTGCTGATGACCGCAAAGTGAGAAACAAATGGTCGCTAAAAGAAGATGTGGTCCTGATCAATGTCTGGCTTAACATGAGTAAGGACGCAGTGATTGGCAATGATCAAAAAGTCGATGCCATTTGGATGTTGATTTAACCTTACTACAACTCCAGCCCACACCTTGTTGACTATCCAAAAAGACAAGTTTGTCAATAATCAGCAGTACTCGCCATGTATTGAACCTTGGGTCATCAGAATTCCCTGTGTTTAGTACACAAGACTCTGATGATCCAAGCGTTGCTGCCGATGACCGCAAAGTGAGAAACAAATGGTCGCCAAAAGAAGATGTGGTCCTGATCAGTGCCTGACTTAACACGAGTAAGGACGCAGTGGTTGGCAATGATCAAAAAGTTGGTGCCATTTGGACGCGGATTCAAGCTTACTACAACTCCAGCCCACACCTTGTTCACTATATACAAAGAGACATGTTAGTCAATAATCAGCAGTACTCGCCATGTATTGAACTTGGGTCATCAGAAGTCCCTGTGTTTAGTACAGAAGACTCTGATGATCCAAGCGTTGCTTCTGATGACCGCAAAGTGAGAAACAAATGGTCGCCAAAAGAAGATGTGGTCCTGATAAATGCGTGGCTTAATACGAGTAAAGACGCAGTGGTTAGCAATGATCAAAAAGCCGGTGCTATTTGGACGCAGATTTAAGCTTACTACAACTCCAGCCCACACCTTGTTGACTATCCAAAAAGACAAGTTAGTCAATGTAAGCAGAGGTGGGGAAGGATTAACGATCACGTATGTAAATTTGTTGGATGCTACGAGACTGCCCTGAAAGAGAAGGCTAGCGGTCAGAGTGAAAATGACTTGATGAAAGCAGTGCATGACTTGTTTTTCAACGACCATCACATTAAATTCACCCTCGACCATGCCTGGCGTGAGCTTAGGCACGACCATAAATGGTGTTCCACACCTGCAGTGCAAGGCAGTACACGTTCTAAAAGAAGAAGGATAAAAGACAAGACTGCTCATTCATCTAGTGCTCCGCCAGATTATGTCTCTAAGGCTCGGCCTCCTGGGATCAAAGCAGCAAAGGCAAAAGCTAAAAGGAGCACAGGAGCTAAAGAAGAAAGCAAGGACGTGATTGAGTTGCAGAGTATTTGGGAAATCAAGCAAAAGGATCTCAAAATGAAAGAGAAACTTGCTAAACATAAGCTACTTGACAGTCTCTTAGGCAAAAATGAGCCACTGTCTGATATAGAATTAGCTCTTAAAAACAAGTTAATTAGTGATATGTTGGGTTGATTATGTATTTACTTTGATGGAAGTTTTTTTCAGACTCTGTTATTTTGTTCTATCTATCGTTTATGTATCATGTTTGATGGAAGTAATGTATGCGGTTTAAATTCCTTGTTAGTGTCTTTTTTGAAGTAATAAATGCAGATTTTATATGTCTTTGTAGTGATTTAGTAACATGTTTTTGATGTATGATGATAAGATTTACCGAGACTACATTATGCTGATGTCGACTTTTGTTTTTATTTGGCAGGACATTTTGCCAGCAAGGTTTTGGCCATATACGTCTGGTTTACAAACCCGTGATGATATAAAAAAAAACACGAGGGTCCATTTAATTTGTTTTGTTTTCTTGTTTTGTAACCCGCTAAATTTTCTGCACTAACGAGAACCATATATTACTTATATTGCTTGTAAGCCACATATGTTTTCTATTCTCCGTATATAAATGTGTTGTGTCTAATGATCAATCTCCATTTCTCTATACATTGTTTCCAACAATATAACTCTATCTCATAGTCTTCTTTGTTCCTATATCAAACTCCTACTATTTTCAAATAATTCCAGCCTTTAAAAGTTACACATACAATTATGGTATCTTCAAGCAATGATATTGACAAATCAGATGATGAAATTTTTGATCAAGTCTTTGATCAGAAATTTGACAACATCTTCAACGCAGTTCTTGATCGGCATGAACTAAAAAAAAAGAAACGCGCCTATATCGAAAGAGAACGTGTACAAGGCCATCAACGCTTATGGAACGATTACTTCTGTGAAGGTGCAACATACCCACCAAGACTATTCCGACTCCATTTTAGAATGAAGAAGGACTTGTTCATTCGTATAGTTGATCGGCTTTCCAGTGAAGTTCTGTACTTTCAACAAAGAAGAAATGCTACCGGAAGGTTTGGTCTATCTAGACTACAAAAGTGTACGACAGCCATTCGTATGATTGCATATGGTTGTGCGGCTGATGCGGTTGACGAATACTTTCGACTCGGTGAGAGTACTGCCATTTTATGCTTGGAAAATTTCAATGAAGGAATAATTCAGTTGTTTGGAGATGAGTACCTGAGAAGGCCCACACCAAATGATCTTCAACGACTACTCGATGTTGGAGAGATAAGTGGCTTTCCCGGGATGATAGGAAACATCGATTGTATGCATTGGGAGTGGAAGAATTGTCCTACTGCTTGGAAAGGGCAATATACATGTGGTTCAGAAAAACCGACAATCGTCTTAGAGGCTGTTGCATCGTATGATCTTTGGATATGGCACGCCTTTTTTGGACCTCCAGGTACATTAAACGATATAAACGTTCTTGATCGTTCACCTGTATTTGATAATATTTTACAAGGCCGAGCTCCAAAAGTGAATTACTCGGTCAATGGACACGAGTATAAGTTGGCTTATTACCTCACTGGCGGTATTTATCCGAAATAGACAACTTTTATACAATCTATTCAACTTCATCAAGGTCCGAAAGCAACACTGTTTGCTACCCATCAACAAGGTGTCCGAAAAAATGTCAAGCGTGCTTTTGGAGTCCTCAAATCTCGATTTTTAATTGTGAAAAACCCAGCTCTAATATGGGATAAAGAAAAAATTGGAAAGATTATGAGAGCATCTATCATATTGCACAATATGATAGTAGAAGACGAACAAGATGGATACACTCAGTATAATATATCAGAATTCGAAGAAGCAGATCTTCACAAGTAGATATGACGTATTCTACATATATGCCTACAAACCTCAGCAACATGATTGGCATTCGAAATCAACTTCGTGATAGACAAATACATCAATGATATATAACACCGTATTTTGACCACTTTTATGGATCATTTTGAAATACTTTTAATGTTTTTTATTGCTTTCAAGTACTTTTATTAGGTTTTTCTAGTATCGGTAGTTCCAAGACTCTTTTCAGGAAACTTAGGGAAAAGCTTAACAAAATGGATAGAAGACCAGATTTTCAGCTCAAAGTCAAACCGTCATAAGTTCACCCCCAATTGAAGACCTTCTCACCTTCTGATCCAGATAAAATTTGGAGATCTCAAACATGGAACTATCAGCTTTCCAGCTCACTTTACAGCTTGGCAATCTAAAGGTTCAATCAAAAGTTACGCGGAGAGCAAGATTTCCCGTAAACCAGCCGGCAAGCATTTCCACCCGCAGCCAACAGCCATTTCACCACGATCAGAGGCTACACAACCACGGCCAAGCATCCATTCACCGCGGCCACGTCCATTCCGACCGCGGCCAGCCATCTCCGAGTCAGAAGGCTCATTTCTGAAGCCCAAAATGATTCCCTCATTTGGAGAAACCCTAAGTGACGCCCATAAATGTCTTGAGCAATATAAATACATGTTTTAAGAACCCTAATTCGGATGCCATCTTATTGTCTTATTGTTTTAGAATACTTTTTAGGTTTTTCATACTTTAACTTTTAGGGAGATAGAGATCTATCTCTTGAACCCTTTTGTTTATTCTTCAATTTCGATTTCTACTCTTATTTTTAATACTATGTTTTTTATTTCATTCATCATGTCTGAGTAGTTTTATTGTTGGGTCAAATGGATTTTCGATGGGGTTATATATGTTCGATGAGGATTCCATTAGCTATTGAAGCCGAATCCTAAAACTTTTTCTTCTGAATTTACTTTTAATGTATGAGAGTAGCATCATGAACTACAATCTGATTCAACTCCTTGGTGATACAAAAGTATTCATCCGGTGTCAGATCTAGTTTGGGAGAGCAAAACAAACATAGAAGTGGAAACCTACCTATGGGCGATTTGTGAATGCTGACGAGTCTTAAACATATTGCATTTTTTCTCTTCTAGGGTCAGAGTGGAAACCTACTGGTCAGGGTTGAGAGAGATAGTTGTCTATGATCACGACAGTGGCGTATTCATACGTCTGTGACTCGAGTTCGAAATTTTTTAGCTAGGATCCTATTAAATTTACTCTTTAGCAATGTTTTGAATCGTTCTTACCGTGGAGAAAACTTTCCTGAAACCCATCGCCTCTTTTCCATTGATTTTCACAGATTATATTTCAAGTTTTAGTCTAGTATTTTTACTTTTTCAATCGATTTTCATACAAGCAAATTAGGTCTAGTCGTTTTCTCGTTTTAGTCTATTTTATTATGTTCAGTTATTAGGTCATTTTAATTTCTGTATTTTCTCATCAAGATTAGTAAAGACACCACCAAAACCCTTACAAAAATTGCCTGGTTCTAAATTTTGTTACTTTATATTTCTTGCAAAGGCTTTTGCAGGAAACATCCTCCTTCCCTGTGGATTCGATCCCTAAGAACTACAATCGATCAGCTGTGCACTTGCGGCTATTGATTTCATTTAAGGTAAAACTTGACACCCTCACCACACGACACATCAAGTTTTCTTTTCCGAAAAACCCTAAGAAAGGTTGGTAAATCGACTCTAGAACCCTTTTTCTGCATATTTCCATTTTTTCGGTTCTTTTTGTTTCAGTTCCCGAAGCAATGAACCCTATAAATCGAAATCCCTTCTACCAGGAAAATTTTTAAAACACTCCTCAAGCCACCAGATGCAGAGAAGAGCAATACATACGCGATCTCTACCACAAAGTTCGAAGCTCAAATCCAAACTACCGAGCATTCCTGGACCAGCCCTACACGCCTCCAATGGTAAACCCTAGAACACCTATGCATCACCTACCTCACCAGATTCTCCAGCAAGATGAGAACGTCCAGCTCAGTAATCGATTGAGTCAGTTTGAAGCCATAATCAAGCAGTTCATCGAAGCTCAAGCAGTTACTACAGCTTCTCTAAACAAAAGGATTGATGGAACATCAAAGCTTTTCAATGAGAAGATTGTTAACCTTGCTTCCCAGGTGAAATCGATAGGGGAACGAGCAACCAAAGACGCAGTCATGATCGCTAATAGGTTTGATAGCATGGAGGAAGAACAAGCGAAGCACAACTATGAGCTCCACAACACTAAGAACACGGTCACGGACCTAGATTTCAAACTCGATGATGTGGACAAGGCCCTCAACGAAGCTAATAACGAGTCTTATGACTTCACAGTCGAAGTTTCAGAAAAGATATACAAAGTCATTGACAAAACCGAAGAGCTTGATTCAACAATGGACAAAGTAGTCTATGCTCTTGATGAAGTGGAAGAAAAAGTTGAAGAGATCATGCAAGGACTTGGAGAGCAGATTCCAGCAGTGCAAATGAAAGACTTAAGCTCAGAGAGGAAGTACACCAAGCCAGAAAACCCATGAGATCATTCAGGGAGCAAAGGAGCAAGCAATTGCAGCAACCCGACTCGGACACCCTTCCCCGTGGTCGCGAGCCCTGTGACCGCGGCCAAGAGGCAGCCAGTCGCGGTCTTGCTTGGTCTGCCCGTAGCCCACAGCCGATTCCCGGCGGTCCCGTCCTTTGCAGTTAAAGCTGACTCCCGCAACTCCAGAAAGCAACCTCGTGCAACTCATAAGAGTAAGTGCTCGTATGAAGCAGAGAAGCTAAACCTCCCATCCAGCGGATGATCTACTCCATCACACTCAAGAATCTGAAGACAAAGACAAGCCATTACCCTACAACATGGCCTTGTCTTGTGAAGATGAGTATGAAGAACAATACTCTGAAGATCAAGAATATTGATAACATCGTATTTTGATCACTTTTATGGATCATAATAATGTCTTATACAGGTGTTTTAACTATATTTTCAATGGTTTTTAAAGTGTTTTCAATGTTTTAGAGTTTCAAAATATTTTTCAGGAAACTTGGAAAAAAGATATGCAATTTGGAACAAATGAGCAATTTTAGATAAATGTAGACCGTCAGAAGTATGACAAGCGATGAAGACCTTATGCACTTGGTTACAACCAGCTTTCTAATGCACTTAGTTTGGAGACAATCCAACGGTTAGATCTTCAGATACACTCGATGCAATAAAGACAGAAAATGCAGTCTCTGAAGACGACACAAGCCGGGACCGCGGCCAAACCTCATTTCCCCACGGGTAGAAGCACCACGACCGCAGACATTAGTCGTTCACTTCCCATACGACCTAATTAAAGCCCAAGTCGATTCCCTTTATTAGGTTTGAAGCCCTAAGTGTCTAGGACAACTCCATAAGCTATAAATACCCCATTTAGGCCATTCTAAAGGGTGTGTTCGTTTTTGTGCTTAGATTTTCGTGTGAGACTCACAAACCCTAGAGAGAGAGAGGTCGCCGTTTTAGAAGGAGGAGCTGCCAAAGAAGAGCATCATCACGCCTCCGCTGTCGCCTCTGTTCTTCGTTTTTCTTCCCTGTTTTCTTTAATTACCTCAACATTCAATACTCTATGATGCTTTGTTACAATATGTTTGAGCAGTTTCCCAGTTGGGTTTAAAAGGATTGTTCAAAGGGAATTTCGTGTGTCTTCTTCTATGAATCGATAGATTTAGGATTTATAATCTTCTAGATGTTCTTCGTTTGCCTTTGATCTTACTGCGTGATTCTTTGCTGACCACTTAGAAGCCGATCTGATATGATATGTTGCGAAAGCTTTGATTGATTGTCTGCACTAGGGTGAAACGAGCAATTCTTCTATAGGAGTGGAAACCTACCATTAGTTGAGTTGTGAATGTTGATGAGTCTTGTTCTGCTATTGTATCTTCTCCCTTCCAGGATCAAAGTGGAAACATACTGATCAGGGTTGCGAGAGATAGTTGTTTAGTGCTGCGAAAGTAGGCTATTCATACTTCCTTGCCTCGAGTTCTAGAACATACGTAGTTGATTACCTTTATCATTTGTTTAAAATCGACATAGCTTAGTCCATGAATCCCTGCGATATCCTTGAGCCCAGCTTTTGTTTTTAATTGCTTACAACCTTTGATTTTATTTGCTTTTCATTCGATTTTTCTGCCTTCAATTTGCCTTCGATTTTTACTTGCTTTCATTTGCTTTCGTTTTTCAATTTCTTTTTATTTGCTTTCTAGTTTACATTTAGTGACAACCAAAACCCAAAACCAAAACCCAAATTGTTTAGTTCTTGTCTGCTTTAAGCATTGTTGTAAATTCGTACTGAAACAGCTAAATCTCTGTGGATCGATACCCTAAGTACTACAGCGCACATCTGTGCACTTGCAGACATTTAGGGGTTATAAATTTAAAATCTGAAGCTTAGTAGAATGAACCAATACCCTGTTTACAATCGCATCAAGTTTTTGGCGCCGTTGCCGGGGACTTTGATTTGTTTCGTTGCGAATCCCAGCTTAAATCCATTAGAACACTTGTTTACTTTTACTTTTTCTTTTGAATCTTTCAGGTTTCTCTACAATGGGAGACCGGGAACATGTTCCCGAGACTCTCGGTGATCCACCATATCGTGTGGATGGTGATCCGAGCGACGATGACCTGACTGATGATGAGTTTGAAGAACTGATCTATGATGACAA